CTCGGGTCCCAGTGTCTATACATCCCACGGATGAACAGCACCATTCAGGGGCCTTGCCTCAGTCTTCCCCACGTATCCAATGGGCATCATGAGACTTACCTGAACAAGAAGTTGCAACGCAAGGCTTAATTCATTACCGCTGGGAAAGTGCCGTGCAAGAAGGGCGCTGTACAGAAAAGGTGATCGGCTCCTTGGTACATTCACCTGCGCCGTCCGAGAAGCTAATGCCTGACTCGCAAGATGCGTGCACTTCTGTATTTTCCATTATTCAATTCCTAATAAACAGCATATCTGAAGGAACTTTAAACCCTGAAACCTAAGCAATAATTGCTTTGTAAGTGTCTGCTAATGACATGCTTTTAAGATAGAAAATAAAAAACTACATTTCCCTGGAAACACAATCAATATGGGTGTACTTCTTTCAAAAATACCTCTGAAAGCTAGGATTTCTCCCGGTGTATGTGACCTTGATCCCGACATGGCACATGGGCTCGGAGATCAAGTTACTAAGTTGTTTGCAGATAAAGGGAGAGGGGGGAAAAAAAGGGCTAAAATTAATGGGTCACTGGGTATTTTCTTCTAAGAATTTAAGTACTTAACAGTAAGGGAAAACAAGCAGTTTACAGCCAGGTGGCTTGAGGGGGTATTTTGTTGAACACTGATTAAAAATAATTTCTTCTAAATGAGACCTGACCACAAAATGGGCCCATTAACGAGCAGGGACATTCTCACTAGAAAGGAAACCATGCTTGATCGACTCCCAGGGTCGGTGGGTTTTCTCCTCCTCCTCTATTTATTTTTTTTCCTCTTTCCTTCTCCCCCCTTTTCTCGTGCTTACGAGCAGGGCAAATAAGCACAAGTGATGCTGAAATGTTTTCAGCCAAAACAACCGAGGCCGAGCTCCTCCGAGGAAACATTTGGCCTCTGTGGTTTTGTAATATGTTCCAGAGCACCGAGTGCCCCGACGAAGACGGTGAAACGCTCCCACCGATTGGAGCGACGCTGGGGAATGCGACAGCATCGCCACTTCCAATTGGTCCAGTTCCTGCAGGCCCATAATGAGCCTTGTAAAAAGCAAGAAAGAAAGAAATAAAATAGCGCTATGTGGGAGTTAAAACAAGTTCTCATGGGAAAAATGAATGGCAAGAAATTCTAGCTTTAAAAGAAACAGCTAATCTGCTAGTTTGATTGTTCTTCAAAACTTACAATGAACCAATAATCCTAATTAAAAACACTTGCCCTAGTTCTATAAAGCATCATAGCTTTTCCTATGCTTCGTTTGTACACCACCGTAGACTATTATTATTTTTTTTTTCCTGGTGCTCACTAACAAAATGCTGACTTTGTTGGGATGGCTGAGCTAATTTCGTGAACTCAGTGTGAAACCTTAGCTAAACAAAATTGTGGTAATTTTCCTTAATTTGTAAAAGTGATTGGAGTGCAAACAAAATTTTCCTCTTGGGTCAATCCTATAATTTTCAATTAACTAAAACTAATCGGCAGGCATGCACTGAACCTGCATTTTGTTTAAAGGGCTGGAAGGCATTTCTAAAGGTCAGATGCATTAATTGTTTTTATTTTATTTTCAGGTTTGCCTTCTTTAAAAAAAAAAAAAGAAGCAGGCCAGGTTTCATACGTTGTCTATAAAAGGACAGAGAAAGGAATAATATTTGGGGTAGGATGTTGGTCAGAAGAGAATTTATACATCTGTCCTATTTTTATGGCATATATACAATTAAGTGAATCTGCCTTTGAATGCGGCTGTCATTTTTGCGTCGTTCTTCATCATTTTCACTTCCCGAACAAAAAAAACGTTAAGCTGGAAACGGCACAAATAAAGCAATAAACTAAATGGGAATGCTGTTAATGCCTGGAACAATTTAGAGTCATATCAAGTCACTCTTCTGCTTTTGAACGGATAGCCCAAAACGTGCCTCTTTCTTCTTGGAAGGACTTAATTAAAGGTGATTCGGAAAGCCAAAATCAAAACCAATTGGGCTTGGTCCTTTTCCTGCTCCTTCACATGGAGAAGGGAGACATGAAAGTTTCCCCTGAAAAGAATATTTGGGGACTGGGTTGCCTTCTTGATTTTTTTTTTAATCTACATATCCCATCTGCCCAAGACAAAACAGTCTACGACCGGAGAAGGGTGAAATACCATTTAGTCATGGGAGTGAAAAATGAGACCGAGACAGACTTTTTAGTCAAACTATTTAGGATTCTCTGGGTCACGTCCTCAGCTGGTGAAAACTGTCCGTATAAGCATCCGACAATGGGAACCCTTGCTTATCCTTTGCTCTTGTTAATATTTATTTAGCTCCAATGACTAATTAAACCATTTGAATAAAGCACACGCTCCGACTTTTCCACCCATTCATTTAAATGCTAGCACTCCTACTAACCATACTCCGAGACCCAATGATCACCTGCATCTTGCGGAGAAGACCCGACGTGAACATTTCAGGCCCAATTTAACCAAAAACCCTGACGAAGCACGAACAAGTCTCTGCAGGGCACCGTTATGCAAACCATTCTGCATCAGTGAAATCACACAGGAACGGAGCTCGCCTGTTTGTACCGACACAGCCCATAATGCACCCTCCACCCACACGTGCACGCACATATGAGGCTGTATGTGCATCGAGAGCACCACACGGGCCACCGCGGGCTTGGTGAGTGGTTCATATCTGGGAGCTTTTCGAATAGTTGTTATACTTAACTTTCTCAGGGAGCTCAAGAGACCTGCCACAGCTCAGGATTTACCACAACCCACAAACACAGCAAGGAACCAAGGAGTATACAGTCCTGTATAGACACCCCCGAGACAGGTCTAGGGATAAGTGTAGTAGAGCCTGGTGCAATGGAAATCAGAGAAATCATAGAAATGAAGGGCTGGAAGGGGCCTTGAAAGTTTATCAAGTCCAACCCCCCTGCTCCTGCTCTGGGCAGGAGTAGTGCTGAGATCAAACGATCCCAGCAAGGCATCTGTCCAGTCTCCTCTTGAAGATTTCCAAGGTTGGGGACCGCACCACCTCCGTGGGAAGTCGACTCCAGATTGTGGTCACCCTTCCTATAAACACGTTCTTCCTTGCATCCAACCTGAAACCATCCTCTGACAGCTCATGGCCATTGCTCCTTGTCCTCCCCTGGGCCGCCCTAGTGAGCAGTTTTTCTCCCAGCTCCTGATATTCACCCCTTCCATACTTATAGATGGCCACCAAGGCCCCCTCAGTCCTCTCTTCCCCAGGCTGAACAGTCCCAGAGCCCTCAGTCTTTCCCCATAAGGTTTGTCCTCCAAGCCCTTCATCATCCTTGTGGCACTTGTCTGGACCCTTGCAAGATCCTCCACCTCTTCTTCGAAGCGCAGCGCCCAGAACTGGACACAGGACTGCAGCTGGGGTCTCGCCAGCGCCAAGTCGAGAGGAAGTATCACTTCCTTAGCCCAACTCTTATAAAGTGACTCCTAAGAGGTTGGCACCACAAGTTTTATATATATTATATAAAATATGTAATATAGATATAATATATCTATATAATATATAGATATCTATATAATATATTGATATCTATAAAACTATAAAATATACATATAAACCTATAAAACAATATAATATATATAAAAAATAATCTCTCTCTATTTTATATATATTTATATATCATTATATTTATATGTATAATGGATATTTATTTATATAGCTATATCTATATCTATCTATATCAGTGGCTACCAACCTTTTTTTGCTGCAACCCTAAATCTGGGTCGTGACCCCTGCCCCCAACTCACTCATGCCCAGTGGTGCCAGCAGAGCCCAGGCCAAGTTGGGATTGTGGGGGCAGCAGGTGGCATGAGCTGCGTGGACCACGCGCTGGGAGAGCCCCCCAGGCAGGATGGGTAGAGCGGGGGGCAGACCCTGATTTGGGTCGCACCCTGAGATTGGGAGCCACTGATCTATCTATCTATCTATAATGGATAGGTAGGCTGGTACCACGGGTTATCCATTATATATATATTTATATATTGATTGATCTATCTATCTAGATATCTCTTTGTATATCTTTATCTATGTATAGATATAGATATAGCTATCTAGATAGATATAGATATTTATCTATCTATCTAGAAAGAGAGTATTTTATATATATTATTTTATAGTTACATCTATCTATCTATTATTTTATAGTTATATCTATCTATCTAGATATATCTAGATAGATGTAACTATAAAATAATATATATAAAATAATCTCTCTAGATAGATAGATAGATAGATAGATAGATCTATATAAAATGGATGGCTAGGATACTGCTTGACTGTATTTAAATCCAGTTCTTATCCCTCCACAATGTGGTTTCACATGCTTCCTAACTATGTGGGATGCCCCATGGCCATGTATTTTAAGGGGGAAAATAAAACCCTTAACCAGTCCTCCCATGAGATCTCTGCATGGAAGAGCCTCCCCAAACGCACTGCCATCCACAAGCGTGCATGGGACAGCTGCCCAGCTTTCCTAGACGGCAGAGATAAACACAGCGGTGACACACAGTAGATGTGGGCAGGCCAGCATGCTCCTGCTTGGAGAGATCCGGCGACGTGGACACACTGGATTGCATTGCTCAACGGCGTCAGAGGAGAGTGCATAGCTGAGGGTCTCAGCCACGAAGAGACAGCCTTGCTTGTGCTGGCTCGCTGTGCTTCTTCATTAGGCCTTTGCACCTCTGTTTAGGCACGGACCCACTGCGCAGCACCATAATAATAAAATAATCTCTTATTTTCTCCTTGCTGGAGGAGGTAGGAGCAAATATACAAATGATCCCTGTTCCAAAAAAAAAGTGCATTTTTGCAATGACCTATAGCCACCCATTCACTAAAAATCAAACCTTACTATGAAGTTGCAAGTGATAGCAATAAAACCCAGGAGTGGCAGTCCCAGCAGCTGGGAGTTGGGTATGCTGCTTGCCCTGGTTTCATACATTGCAGCTGGTGCTAAAGCATTCTTACCGGTGTAAATGAACCTCCCAGGCGTTCCCTTGCAGAACTGCTTCGATTTGTAGGACAATGTGACTTCTACCACACCAGGGATGTGTCGGGGAGGCGTCTGAACTCGGATTGCATGAGGAGTAATCAGCTAGAAGAAAACATAGAGGGGGGGGTGGGAAAGCACTGTTACAAGCCGAACACTTCTTTAATAACACTTTCCTCGCGGATCTCAGTAAACAAAGCTTTGAAACGTGTAATTAACCTGTCAATGTTTGAATACAATCTTGATGTAACCCACATAAAAGCCAGTGACAACAATATTTACAAGCGTTCTCCTTCTCAGCCATAACAACATTATCTCAGTTGTCATACATGCCAAGCACTTGCTTCCTTCTATGAACATTAAGCCTGGCTTAGCGCGACGGCTCAAGCCAGCACACGCCAGATGAAGGTTTTATACTCCGGTGGTCACAATGGTGCCTGACTAACGCCCACTTTACAAACGGAGGATTTGCTAAAGGTTTGGACAAAGACCGTTACACTAAGGTTAAATCTATCGAGCACTTGGACTCTAGATGTGCAGGGGAACACATGCCATTTAACCACGTGGATCCCAAGTCTCCCACCATCATGTACATGCATGTGATGGTGCATTTCTCATGCAACTCTGTGCAAACCTGCTTTTCACTACTGGAGCAAACAGAAATGACTGCACAATGGGCATGCCTATACCAGCTCCAGACCACACAAAGAGCATTGCAATGAAGCACAGCACGCCTACTGTGTGTGCACAGCACACAAAGATGAAGGTAAATGTGGGTATCGCATGGGCCATGACACGTTTACTGCCAGATCATTTTCTCAGATATTACTCCGGAGTAAAGTTACACCGCTACGTTCAGTGGACACATGGCCCCCTCTCCCACGGTAGATGTATTACAAGACCTTGCCACTAGGTGGCAGGGAAGACAGTGATAATAATGTGTCTGCACCGAACAAACAGCCACCCAGGGGGGGAACGGAGGAGAGCTGTGAACACACTATACTAGTGTAATTTTACCCAAGGTAAAGTTAAGTCCACTTGTTCCCAGAGGTAACGTCACTCCAGAATCAAGCGACTTACCCTGTAGTAAGGCTGTGCAAGGCAAGCTCTTTCCATTTTCACTGCAAAGTCCATTTACGTGTCAAATGTCTGTACCCTCAGAGAAGCTGTGAGCGCGTGCCAACACCCTTGCTCTTGAGAGTGGTTATTTCGTGTGCCCAGTGCTGCCCTAGGGTGGTTACACTACCTTCATTTTGATGGCTAGTGCACAGTGGCTGTGTCTACACGAGACGCTTTACTGTGCAGTAGACTACTGCGCAGTAAAGCGTCACCGTTCACACATGCAGGCTTAGTCTACTGCGCAGTAAATTTACTGCACAGTAAAGCCAAATAGTATTAATTGCACGTGCAGATGCACCCACAGAGTGGGCACATTCTCTATCATTGCTCAAGGCTGTGGCAACATCCACCCCCATCTTGCCATGCCCTCTCCTGAGCCCAGACTGCCCTCTCAGAAAAGGGCTGTGAAAAGGTCAGCCACTTACTCTGCAGAGCAGCTCTAGGAGCCAAGCAAACACTTGGGACATCCAGGCAAATGGTCCCTGGTCTGCGGGCAGTGTGATGGTTGCGTCTAGAAGCGGGGCAAGACCCCAGTGGGAAGACTTTGAAGGAATCTCCAGAGCTCCTTTACCTTTGCCTTATTATTATCCGAGCTTCCCCATGACTTTTGAAGAGGCTGCCTGGAGGGAAGCATGCCACGGGGGCAGGAGGAGCAGTGGGGTGGATGGTGGGGTTGGTGAAAAGCCTTACACACGTATCAGAAGAGAAGCAATCCTTTACATTTAATAGAATGGGCTGCACCCCACAGCTCTTGTGCTGAAGGGAGCCCGACTGCCTTGATTTTAGAGCACGTCACTGGTTGTTCATCCTCATTACTGGAGCCAGTCACTGTTTCATGGCAAGCCACACTCTGGATGAAAAATTAAAATTAAACCTTTCTGATAATGGTTTGGGGTTTTGTTGGTTTGGGGGTTTTTTGTTTTGTTTTGTTTTTTTTATAAAAACTTTCTTTTTGGCAATTTTTTTTCAATTTTTGCAGACCAAAGAGGGGTTGTTTCCTCCTGAATGACAACCAAACACTTTGGAAAAGCATTTTCAAAAGCTATTTTTTTCTGATTTTTAATTTAAAAGTAGGCTTTAAAAATTAAAAGGAAAAGAAAAGAAATGTAATACATCCCTACAAAAGTCACTGGCCCTTTGTGGTCATCTCTAGTTTGTCTGTTGTGTGAGTTTTGAGCACAACTCCTAACACCCTCCCCCCTATATCTTAAGAATGAAAATCCCCAAAGACAAGAGTTGGCAACAAAACACTAAGGAACCGGGAATGCTGCTCAGAGATGCGGCCATCTCTCTTATGTGAATGAAATGCACCGCAAAAAGTTCCCATACATTAAAAAAAAAATTGATGGAAAAAAAGAAGTCAGTGCTACCGCCCCCACCTGTTCAGAAGAACGAATCAGACCCCCCAAGAAATCAAAAGACTGGATTAAAAATCATGAGATTTAAAAATAAAAAATCAGCAGGAGGTTCTTTTTATTTCCCTTTTGGTATTTTCAGGCTTACAAGCTTGTTCCTGAGGACCTAGATACTCACTTCTTAAAATGAAATGTGTCATTTAAAAAAAATGAAGCCCAGCTGACTCCAGGAGCTGGCACTTAGAGAAAAACAGTCATTGTTACAAGATATTTAGGCTAGGGGCAGAAATTACACACAGACCGGTGTAAGTGATCTGAAGCTGGCTCCAATCTGTAACACAACAGAAGTTCAGTGCACAGAAACCACTTTCAAACTAGCTGAAACTGGTTTAAGTTAACCTGGATGGATGCAGTATCAGGCTGAACTGATTTAGGTTAAATTGGTTTGTTGAACTTCTGTCCCGGGCCCCCTCCAGATTCAAGTTCACTCACGGTCCCCCAGCATCCCAGGATGCTTTGCACCTCCTCCATAAAGCCCGCCCTCACAGGATGGGTGGGCTAGCTTTGGCCCAAGCTGTCAGCTCCAGCCCGGCAGAGAGGTGTGCTCTAGCGCCCCCCGGCTTCTGGCCTGGGCGACTGCAGGCATGTGGCTGCATTTCTGGGATCAGAAGTGAATGTCTGTCCAGTTGCTTGTCGGTTCAATCTATGCTGGGTAGACTAACCTGCAAAGATTGAATCCATTCAACCTCAGGGTTTTTTTGACTGTCTATACTTAGCCCCTATGAAAGCACATGTATTGGACACGATAGAAAATGGGGGGGAAATAAATCTTAAAGAAAAAATTGCTAAGGGCTTTAAAAAAGAAAAGTTTCCAGCTTCCCCTTCCACATCACCACTCCAAGAGAGCTCACTGAAAGAGGCAGACTCTCGATGCATCTTTGCTTTCCCAGCCCTTACTGGTGTGGCACCACGAGAGTGGTCTTTCAGCATAACTCGTGGCATTTTCCAGTACGCTTCTGCCCCGGTTCTCAAGAAATGCCTAACCTATTTATGGGACGCTGTTACCAAGGACGGGCGAGTGAAGCCAGTTTGCTGGTTGGTTCTTTGCAAACAGTTTGGTTTTCCTTTGTTCTCTGAAGTAAATAAATGTCACTGTGTTTAAAGCCACAAGAACACAACTCTCTCGCCCACACGTTCCCAAAGGGGGAACATTATGCCTCGAGTCCTGTATTCCAGGACACTCAGGTTATATTTTGCTCTAATGTAGGCCTTGATGTGCAGAGAAAAGGAAATCTGAGTTTTATAAACCCACGGGCTCTCCAGCTTTCTGTGCAACAGAAAGAGCTTAATGCCATGAGTTTGCAGCGAGGTTCGTTAAACAGCTTTATTTACCATTATGTCTGACATGTAATATGGCAGCACTTGCGAACACCGATCAAAAACCAGAGCCGCACTCTTTTGAGCAGTGAAGAAGATGGGGGTGGAGGCAATGGTCTCTGGCTCCGACTGCCTGTCTACTAGCACCAGGAGAAGGAATGACTCGATCTAAATAGCCCTTTCTCTGCTCCAAGATGCAGGTAGGAAGGGAGAAATGAAAAGCACTAGCCAACAGTGAGAGGCCATGAAATCAGACTTTCCTGAACCAGGACGCTATATTTTAGCCACCCTGATCTGATGCCTATTCTTTTTTGAACTTGGAGATTTCAAGCAAAGCATTCACCTGATTCAGAAATGAGCCCGCAACAAAACCCCAAACCTACCTTCTTGTTCCCCCTCAAGCTTTGGGAAAATTGGGCTCTGGATTCAGGCATCAACCATGCAGCTAGCCTCATTCTAGACCGGGATTTTTAGGTAAATTGGTCTAATACTTGGCATCTGTATCAGCTGGTTTATATAAACTCACTTATGTCAGTTGGGACACATAATGGATTGGATTAAAACCTGAATTGCAGAGGTCTCCAAAACAGGGTGAGGTACGTGCCCTTTAAAATCCAAAACACATTAGGGGTTGTATTTGCGCAATAAACTTCTTTTCGTGGTTTGCTAATATATTTTAGACATTCTTGTGTGATGCAGCATCGTTTCACACTGCGGAGAGTGCCAGGCCACTTTTTTCCTTTTTTTTTAAAATGACATTGTATAAAGAGATGCTATTCATACAAGTCCCCAGCTTATTTTTGCTTGCTTGAGCACTAGTTTGTGGTTCCAGGCATGGTGACAATGAGTCACAAATTTAATTTGGATTTGAAGTGGGGGACCATTCAAACAGAGCTGATCAAAATGCAACCTCGTACCCACTGTTGGGGCTGGTCCTGCTTGGAGCTAGATGGTCCCCTCCAGCCTCGTTACCTATGGTTCACTCAGGGTAGTAAAGCTTTGACCATGAGAGAAGCCAGGGAGCATCTACACAAAGGTATACGCCTACATTTTCAAAACTGACCAGTGCTTTTGGATGCCTTCACTTCTGGATGCCCGACCGGAGATGCTTTCAAGAGCCCTGGGTTTTAGAAAGACAGTGCTCAGCCCCTCTTGGAGATCAGGCCTCAAAGACTACATGCAATGGCTGAGACACCCAAAAGCAATCATCAGCTCTGCAAATCTTAGCCGCAGATTTTGGTTCAGCAACATAAAGATTGCCGACAGCCTCCGTGCCCTGCGAGAGCAAGGAGCTGATGTTTCCAAGTCTCTCCAACTTCTCTCAGTATAAAAGGCAAGACTGAGTTTCCAGCTGACCCGGCGAATGCGCAGACTGCTCCTGGCAAGCGACTGCTCAAAGAAATGGCCCGTTTGAATAAACAGAGCAGAATACTTATTGACAAACTCATTTCAACTTATAGTCACGAGTATTTGCTCCAACACCTGACGCTAAGCGGTACGTTCTTGCGTTCAGGGGAACGAAACAGCCCAAATATTGGCCGTCGCTCATATAAGTTACTCACAAGACAGCCAATGCTGCAGTGCTTGAAAATTAACATAGGATTTTAAAATCGTTTTCATAAGTAATTTGGGAATTGCATATTAATTGAACTCACTGGCTTGAGGTATCTGCCTTTCTGCACAAAATTAATGTGACAAATTAAGTTTTTATTTAGTTCTCCTCTGGCTGAGAAAGGTTGTAATTATGTTAGAGTGTTTACAACTAAAATATATGTTTAAATAATAAATATGTGTTTCAGAAACCATTTTAAACCTCCTTCTTTACCATAGCCAACTCCATTTCAAGTGTATAAATATTTCAATTACAAGACTCAGATACATGTAAAATAAATTAAAGCTATATTATTTACATTTCAAATATTTATACTACATACAGTTTGACAGCAACAAATATATATTTTAAATGAACGGGTGGTTTTTTTTCATTTTCAATTTGAATCTGAAATGAGGTGGAATTTGCACTTTAAGTACCTGTATCTTGTAGGTACTCATACAGCTCCCATTGCAAGAGCATCTGAGCACCTCCTAATCCTTCGTGTCTTTCTCCTCACCGCACCTCTGGGAGCAGGGGCTAATCTTGCTGCAGGGTTGGAGATGGGGACCTCGAGCTGAAAGAAACTACGCCCTTTCCCCATTGCCACACGGGAAACCCATGGCAGAGCAAGGACTTCATCTTTGGTCTCCCGAATCCCAGCATTTGCTCTCACCCCAGAATTCAAGTTTTTCTTTGGGTTTCCTGCAACTCGGTCAAAACTAGCAACTCCAGGAAAGAGCCACTGAAAACGTCACCTCCTTTTGACCAGAAAACTCATCGATTCAGCTATATTAGCATTTGACCTAGATTTTTTTCTTTTTTGACAGTCCTGCTCCAGGGTTTGAGCGTGCAATGACACCCCCAAGCCGGGCAGTTTCCTTTCAGGCTCTGCTGCGGTCGAGCAAACGCCTTTCCCCTGGATCGTGACCTTCCTTTTTTGGGTTCGGACAACCTAAGAGGCATTTTTTGGGCGGAGACGAGGCCGCAGATGGCTTAGGCACGTGCGGTGCGCGTGGACGCTGCGTGCACTTTGAATTCTTTAGAGATCATTTTGGTAACTCACTCATTTCCAGGATTATTTTTTAATAGCCTCCTCATTTTTTTAGCGCTCATCTCTCTCCCCCTTTGGGCTTTCATACTCCATGACCAAACCAGAGGAACAACAGCACAGTGCAAACTGTAGGATAATTTTCATTTGAACGACTAATTATAACCCTAACATTCGCAACCAATAAATGAACGCCTTTCGGTCTGACTATTCGCAGTATCTGTCTTCTTTTAGGAAAGGCGTGTCCAACAACTTGCAAACCAATGAGATTTTGAAACAACACTGGTTATACAGACAGGGCTTTATAATGGAAGGGCCAATTCTGGGTACACCCTTCTCCGTCCCAATGCCCTCTCAGACCGAGCCTCTTCACTTTTCCTCGTTAAAAACCTTTACCCACAATAGTTCCCGTCCTAACACATCGCTGAAATCACAGAGGTGCTTTCATGATGCAAGAGCTTCAGGACTGGGCCCATGTGCTATGCCTATTTTTTTTTTAATAATATACTTTCATCTGCTCCCATCCTTACACGGGGGAATGTGAGAGGGAAAGTCCGCAGCAAATATTAGAGGGCTCTCTTCATAGGAAAATTGCTGCCATATGTGTAACAGAATCACCAGGGGTGAAAGGGTCAGATCTGAAGTAAATTATAATATTGATTTAATATTTATAATGTACAATCCCAAGGAGCAGAAAGAACGAGGGAAAACAGGATTCTCCTTCCAGCCCTTCTATCATGAATACTAATTTAATGAGGAAATTTAACTCTGCACCTGAATCTGAAGGAAGTTTGTGTCTGACCAAAATGTGGCTGTCCCAGTATAGTATAATTGATGCAATAAGGCTGGCTAGTCACTAAGATAAGTGCACTTATTTCAGTATTCATCCCTCACAAAGATCAACTCAATGCAAAGCTTTCAGACCCCGCAAAGGTAACACGTGAAACCCTCTTGGCGAGCTTTCTCCTGGTGCCGGTCACGTCTCTGGGATTTTTGTATTGGTTTCCCTGGGCCTGGCCAAAGGGGTGTTGTGTTGATCTCTCTCTTTTGAGATTTAAATGTTTCACTGGTGTTTGGAAAACGAAAGAATCAAATCACATTGGGTGACACAATAAGATAGCAAAAAGGAAGTTAAGAAGAATGAGCAGGGAAATAGAGACAACAAAAGTAAATGAGAGGCAAGAAAACATTGCCCTGAAGATATAAATGTCTCTGCTGGGAAGGAAAATGATGCTTTCCCACCATGGATGTGCAGAACAAGATAGCTAGGTATTCAGAGCCAGCTCCCCAGGTGGGCTGAGGACCTGAAGCCCCCCCTGAAGTCAATGGGAGCTGCAAGTCCTCAGCGCCTCTGAAAACCAGTGTTGCTGGCCCTTTTTTTAACTGGACCTTATTTACCGTATGTTAAATGCACAATCCATCATAGAGGTGCGCGTTGATCCTTGACCCTTCCCCGAACTAAATGGCAGTGCCTAGGTGCAGGGCCACTGCAAGAGGGACAAGTCCAGGGATTCGGGCCACAGGCAAATTTGGTTTGTTTCCAGGGAACTGAGTGAGCAAAAGAAGGATTTCGCAGCTAAACATTTGTGGCTGATTGAGCGTTAGGCTCAGAAGAAAAGCAGGCTAGCTATAAACTAGACAAAGCTATTAGACATTAACGTTCAGACAACACCTACCTCACTCCAAACCAGCATGGTGCCGAATATGACCTGTAACCCATCAAAGAAATTGTCTCCTATGATGATGACAGTGGCACCTCCTGTAGTCCATCCTTCACTTGGACTGATGGCTTTGATACATGGTGTAGCTGCTTTTCAACACACATGAAAAAGAGAAGTATTCTGCTGTTAGAACCAGATTTTAATGATAGAAGACCTGAGAAAAAAAAATAAAAGGACCTTTCATCCCCCCCACCCCCCCCACCCCTCGTAACACAAAGATTGCAGAGACCTCATTCTTTCGAGCAATGCATGTGTGACCCCCAACCAGCTCTTTGGAGAGGGTATTTCTCCTCATTAATTTGTGTTTGCTTTGGTTGTTTCTATTAAGAAGATAAATATTTATTTCAGGCTATGCAAAAAAAAATAATAAAAAGATGGGCAGAGACCAGCTGGATTACAGTGCACATTCCTCTATTATATATGAAATGCTGCATTCCTGAGTCAATAATAAGATGATCGCAAGCAAGTGTCCTTTATTATCTATCACAGGATAAATTAACCAAGGAAAGACTCTGAAATACTATGGAAACTGTTAGCTAAACACAAAAGGGCGTAACCCTCCGTGTTGCTCTAATTCCTCTGCAATAGGATCCAGGTTCAACCACCCTGCCATGAGGCAATGCATTGGCAAGAAAATCTGCTAGCAAGTCAGTCAAGTCAGAAAGGTTAAGGAGGTCCCAGGGATGCTGGTAACTATTGTGTCATTAGGAAATGAGTCGAGGGTGAACATCTCCTGCTGCATACACAAGGCAAACCTCCCTCTCACATGCTGGCTTCCTGACACACTATTGGCCACGGGCCCCCTGCGAGGATGCTGACACCCCCATAGATGTGAACAGTGCTCAACTCTGCCAGCTAGACCTTTGGACATGAGGGCCTCTATTTTAGGGCATTTTATGTGCGCCAAGCACGGGGACCGCCGCTCCAGAGGGAGCCCTGGACACAGATACGGGTGATGTGAAGCTAGTTGGATGGGCAGAAGGGTAGGGCTCAATCCCGTAGGTGACTGAATACTCCTACCTAAAGCCCTGTATGGGAACAGCATGTAGGATCAAATCCTTGGGGATCTTTTATGTCAAACTGCCGGCCAGATCCTCACCAGCAGTGAAAATCTGACTCTTCTGCAAAGCAGGGACGTTGACCATCCCACATTCGGGCTGGGATTGCAACCCTGGCATTACGTGGCATGGCTCCACGGAGAGCGGGGTGCTTTATTAGTACATACAGGCCAGCTGATTGGAGCATTTGCTCTTGATGAAGAGCTGCTTATTGGTGGAAACCCTGAACTGCTTGAACGGCTCGTTCGGCTCAGAAATTCCAAATAAATGTGAATGTGCCCCAAGCCTGCAGGCAGGTAGTTCATAAAGAATGAAGGCAAATAAATAAAATGCACAGTTGTAGGTGACCTGCCATATACTGCTCCAACACAAAATGTTAAATCAGCACTAGGCACTGTAGGTGACCTGTCATATACTGCTTCCAACACAAAATGTTAAATCAGCACTAGGCATTAATGCTGTTATTTATTAGTTGACGGTGGGAGTTGGACTGCAAGAATTGATGCACCCGGCAAGAAGATCATTCCCGTGAGCTACTGTGAAGGGTGGGTGGGCAGGGAGCTGGAAATGAGGACGGGTCTGGAAGGCAAGTTGTTGAGTCACCCCTAGCAGTAAGTGTTTCTGTGGGCATTCGTACAGAAAAGCTCCAGGGTGATGGATGGCAGACACAGGACGCACACAAACTCCATCCCTGCTTACAAAAGCTGGTAAGTGTCAGGCACAAACTTTTCCACTACTTAACCTGATGGAAGTGCCAGCTAAAATACAAAAAAACCTCGCGCACACCAAAATCATTACAGCGCTCCAAACTTGGCAGAAAACAGCCCTTTAACTTTTACATGAGCTAACAAAAGAAACATCCTAACATTACAGTCATGAAAATGCAGTGCGCACACAGAAGTAACTTCAAGATGTGTAATTTGGATTCAGGTTACTTGCATAAAACCGTGCATAAAAAACTTTGGAAAGTCCAAGCCAAATGCTTTCCTTTAGACTGAGCTCATAGCAAAGCGTTTACAGCTAAGGCAGCTTTGCAAAAACCCATCTAGCCTTTTCACAGAATCTAATCATTTCATAAATAAAAATTAAAATTGCTTCCAAATTACACACTTCCTGCTAGTTACAACTCACGGTGGACACACACACCCTAATAAAACCTAAACATAACCAGTTTTGCATGTGTCAGTGAGAGAAGTGAGCTTTTTCTTAAAGGTTACAAAGCAAACTTTTTTTTTTTTTTTAAAGAGAGAAAAAAACTCAATATATAAAAACTGTTTGAGTCCTCAAATCATTAAAAGCATATGCAGGCTTCAGAGTCACACATTCAATTCATCTCTAAAATGAATGCAAGATATTGCTGTAGTTGCTGAACCCAACTACAGGTCTTGGTGGGCACATCTAGATGAGATGCTAACTGCGCAGTAGCCTAATACTACTGCACAGTAACGTGTCACGGCAAAAATTGTGCTAATATGCTACTGCGCAGTAGTATTAGGCTACTGCACAGTAAATGTCACTAAAAAGCCGTGCACCAGCACCGTGCACAGTAACTGGTGCTACTGTGTAGTAGATTTAGTACTTGGTTATGCAAGTACTAAACTTCATGCGCAGTACCTACAGCACATTCATGAATGTGTAGACGCACCCAGTGCTCCTCTCACAAGGTGGGATTTTTTTTTTTGGTGTCCTCAGCACAGAGCAGGGCAGAGCGCTGTAGTCTTTCCACCGGTTGATTGTTAGGTTTTGATGTATCTAGCACTTAAGAAAGTGTTTAAGTGCAAGATCAGGTCTAAGCCCCATCAAAGCAAGTGGGACTTTGAGCAGGCACTCGCGTGCTTTTCTTAATTGGCCTGATGGCCCCTCCGACTTAATTTAAGCAGGCGGCTGGTTCCAGCAGAGTCAACCGGACGGATCGCACACTTGAAATTACATGACTGCTTAAGTCCTGTGCTGAATGAGCAGGGACCTGGTGTTTAGAAGAAAATTTTGTCTCACTAACATTTCAGGCAATTACGACTCCAGGATGTGTTTCCCTTGAGATAGTCCCTCATCTTCCCCCTCCACCACCCAACTCACGCTTGGTGTTTTGACCCAAGTGTTTCCGTGTGTGGTGCCGGGACAGGAAGGCCCAGCCCTGCACTGGCAGAGGTCTTGTAGTGTAGGACCAAGGGGGAGCTAGCTCCAAGAGGCAACGTGCGAGCTAGCACACCTGGGAGGAATTGCTCTTCTATCGCTAGCAAAAGCTAGTGTTGTTCTTGGTGCTAAGCTTATGTAGTCTTGCTGCACCCCAGGCCCTGCTCTTCCAGGGCACAAGCAGAATGACTCTTACTGAATGGAAGATACTCTTCTGGGGTGAAGAATCGGGCCTCAGTGCTCCCCCCGAGGTGGGAGGGAGGTTCCTTAGGACCTCCACACACCGACACCTTTTCATTGCACCCCCAGGCTGGGGGCAGGCACAGGGGGGCCTTAGCTCCACGCACGTCTTCTGCTAATCATTTGGCGTCTTTACTCATGTTTCATTTCCCAGGAGATGTTTCCTTATGAGCAACTTGACAAAAATAAAAAATGCTGATTGGAATATTTGTCCCAAAGGAAATGTATAGACTCATAGAAAATGAGGGCTGGAAAGGACCTCAGGAGGTCACATCTAGTCCGACCCCCTGCTCCAAGCAAGACCAGCCCCAACTACATCATCCCAGCCAAGGCTTTGTCCAGCCAGGTCTTAAACCCCTCCAAGGATGGAGACTGCACCACCTCTCTGGGGAGCCTGCTCCAGTGCTTCACCACCCTCCTTGTGAGAATATTATTCCTAATATCCAACTTCAACTTCCCTTGCTGCAACTTGAGCCCATTGCTCCTTGTCTTGCCATCTGCCCCCACAGAGAACGGTCCAGCTCCACCCTCTTTGGGACCATCCTGCAGGTATTCTGATATTTCCATCTTTTTTTTGGTCCAGAAAGAGGACAAAATGGCAACGTTCGTGTAGAATGAAAGGCTCACCATCCCAGCCCCCAACTTCTAGTTGCAAGATGTAGAAACTGTGCAAATAATCACTATTTTCCATCCCTTCCTCCCCCCGCCTCAAAAGAAAACCTTTTCCAGAGACAAACTTTGCTTTGGCTGAAACCCTGCATTTGATTGCAAAGAATTTGGGGTCCAAAAATTTGACCAGCTGTAATAATAAGGTAGTGAAACATGTGCCATTACAACAGGTGGGCTTACAATAAGCAAGAGTGTATATACCCCCACCCACCCACACCCACTGAATAATGAAAGGCAGACTAACCGTATCCTGGACTAAAAGAGCTCAGTTGCTTCATTACCAGATGTCATTTAAAAAAAAAAAAGAATCACTCAATTGTTCAGGGGACTCTATTCACACTACTCGCTCAAAGCTGAGTCTCCGCACTGAATAAACGCCATGGACCAAAGTAACTACAACCCCTTCACGCTGTAAGCAGAAGCCTTGCAACGTCTGACGGATGGCCATATGAACATGTACCGCCACTGATGAATGTTGCTTATGCTTACGGGTATTTTCTCCTCTCATTTTTTGCAAGATTTGAAGCAAAATAATTGTTGAACTGTAAAGACGCCTTTTGTTCTGCACCTCCTGCGACAGCATCTTTGCAGCCCTCGTGTACACGGGACGTTCGGCGCCAGCATCGAAAGAGAAAAGTCTTGCGCTGGGCGTGGGGCGGGTGCACTGCGTGCACGTGCATTTCCCCGCTCCCTGGAAAGGAGATTTTTCTTCCTTCAAAGTGTGACAATAAAATGATTACCCCGCCACAGTTTAGCATAATGGTTCAGAAATGCTTGTGGCATATTGCAGAGTTAAAGTGGAAATTATTAGGTAGCTCTTCTTTGTTATAATAATGATCACTCCACAAATAAAAGCTCTTCTCCCAAAGGTACTGCAAGGCACAAAATGCTAATTCCGAAGATTATGTGCGCGCTTTTATTAAATATTACTGTGCCCTGTCTGTTTGAGGGCTTCACTGCTCTGATTGTTTTACGAGTGCCATGGTAAT